TTGCCTGACTTTATAAAGTGTGTTTATAAGCATTACTGCTTGTAGGCAGACATGACAGTCGACCCATGTTCAGGGGAGGTGGGTTTAGTTTCCTGCACGCCTCGACGTAAGAGAGACGTAAGCGACGCCACCTCTTAGCTCCGAAGCTCTTGCCTCTAGACCGACAATTTTTTGGAGCTGGAAGTGAACCGGATTCCGGAGCTAAGAGCCGGCGCCGCTGCGGTGTGAACAGGAAAAAACGGCACTTTTCAGGCTCCAGCTCCGAGCCGGAGCTGAAAAAGCGCTGGTGTGAAAGGGGCATGTGTGGCGTTTTCTCCCGGAGGCCAAGGGAAGCCAGGCTTCCCCTCTTTTTTCGGATTGTAGTTATAATTTAAATAAATAAATAAAAACACTTTGTTTTGTTTCGATAATTCTCCTTTGCTGTGTGTTGCTGCCGGCCCGTCTCTCCCCCATTCTCATTGAGTATTTTACAAAGAGTGAAACAAACAGCGCCCCTCTAGATGTTATGGTGAAACAGTAGATTGCACTCACTGTTGCGAGAGGAGGTTCTTATTATACATCCATGGAGAGGAGGCCAGCCGAATCTGGCTTCCCTTGGTGAAAAAAAATGGAGGGATTGACCAATCAGATGAGGCTCACGTGATGCCCCTGCCAACCTGTGATTGGTCAGGGCCATGCCAAGGGAAGCCAGAGGCGGCTGGCTTCCCTTGCCTCACAATCCAATCAAATCGCATCAATTTAGTGTTGCAGTGACGCATCCTAAAATCCGCAAGTAAGCTGCTCTCGGTTTCCCTCGACAAAAAAGCAATGGGATTTCTCCATAGGATTTAGGATAATAGCTCGAAATAAGGTCAGTGGAAAACGAACCTGTTAGATAAATGCAAGTTTTGTTCAGTCGGATAATATCCACATGTCTACCCTACTTTTATAATTTTCGAATCATAAATCTAATCGATAGATAGCGTCACTGCACTACTCTCACCGCCGTTAGAAAGTAGCAAGCAACTGAAGCAAGTGCAATTATGGAGGGTGGAGATTTGGAGTATTTCATCAAAAATAATTGTACTAAACTTCCGCTACAGCAGCAACAACAAATACAATCTGATGACAGGCCAATGCCCAAACTGGAGCTGTGTACAGCGAGGAACAAAGGAGCGAATCGGACGTAAAACGTTAAAGGTCTCCTGATTTAGTTTGTGAATTAGTGCTTATTAGAGTTTCGGCTGGAGAGTGCGTGCGGACCTGTCGGTTAGATAACAGGCGTGTGTAAGTCCGGCATCTGATACAAATGTGTGTAAAATGATACCGGGTGCTGTAATCACTCATCATTGACCACCACACCCCGACCCAAAAGAAAGGACGTATTATTGGCTTCCCCTAATTTTTTTCCCACGCCACGCTACTGGCTACTGTATGGACATTTTAAAATTATATTTAAAGAAAAGGCCCTGACAAAACAGCAGGGTTCTATTTCAGTAACTATTAACTATTGAAAAAAAGACAGCAGCAGCTTATATCAAATATTTGCTGAGCCTAAGGATAATCATAAATAAATAACATAGTGAAAATAAATATATTGCAATGCTCAAAACAGCAGCATCCAACCGTCTCTAATCATAAAAAAACATAATACAAATAAATGTATTGCAATGCTCAAAACAGCAGCATCCAACCGTCTCTAATCATTGGATATTACATGTCACTGCATGCATGCACGGAGCAGCTGTAGCGCGGAGATGATCATCATCATCATCATCATTCTGTCTTGTATTACTTAACAAACAAAAAAACGGCTCGTTCGCGGGTGCGAGCCTGCTCCCGTCGTTCGCGACCATGTTCGCGACCGACACATCACTAGAATACGTTCTTTTAGTGTTTTGAAAGTAAACTGAGGTATGGCAAGGAAGTTTACTACAGCGGAGGCTTTGGAGCTGATTTTTCAAGGTGACGATGTTGATGAAAATTCAGACGAATCTGCTCAGCATGCCATGTGTGATTGTGGACAGGAACTACACATTATATAATCATGTTTAGTCTTGACCAAAAAAAAAGACAATTCCTTGCAAAAAAATGCCCATGGCCACTGCCCAAAAGAATGGGCATAACTAATGAACAGAAGAAGTTCGAATATTCTAATCACTGATACAATGATAATAAATGTGTGCAATTGTCTGTGTTGAATGTTTTTTTCAATGTTATGGTTAGCAATTATTTTTAATGAAATAAGTAAAAAATGCAAGCTCAGTTTTTAAAGAAAAAAAATCATATATCATTAGCTGAGGTTGTGCTGATTTCTGGGATGTGTAAAACTTGATTATACTGTAAAGAAATGACAATTTATAAAGGCAAAACACAAAAATATACAAAAACGGAAATGTCCTATGTGGGTCTCAGAGGGTTAAACAAATCTTTTCAAAACATATATATTTTAATAAATTTATAGAATGTTATCACACACAATATAAGCATGATATTTTGTACTTAAAGTCCAATTTACATTTTGCTATTCTTATTTTTCAGTTAAAGTCCAGTTTAGGAGAAAACTGTGATTTCTTGCATTAGGACAATCATTCTTTTGTGTAAGAATGTTCCTGAAATGGCAAAGCAAACATTCTCGTTTACAAAAAAAATTAATAATGTATAACTAACAGAAATATAAACCTACGCACATTTAAAAGTATTGCTTCATTTTGTTGTATGTATTGCTTGGGGAATTTAGGAGAAATGTATCAATGCAAATAGACAACATTAGATAAACAAAAAAAAGCGTCTGGCCTTGAATGTGACTGATATCGACTCAACATGTGCTGGTTTTGCTTATCTCCTGGCTGAGGTTGTCATGACATCAACAATGCAGACTAGTGGTGTGCAGCCTTCCCATTCAGTCTGAATCTGTGTCAGTACTCCTCACCGTTGTGTATCCACCAGCATCAACCACTCTTCACTGTTTTCGCAGAACATGTTTGAATATTGTTACTTCCTGTTTTTATTACTCACTTGCAGTGAAATGAGGCCTTGTTTCCTTTAATCAAATACCCATTTGTGTTGTCCCGTGCTGCCCTGCAGTACGGAGGCTGACCTTTCACCTTGAACGTGGACTGAGATGACTTCATCAAAAAACACTGGCACTGGTAACAGACAGGCCTCTGTTTCATATTGTTATTAAATCTTATAAGAGTGCTTTGTAGCATAAACATAACACTGCATGATGTAGTATTAATTGTAGTGGTGGTGTACTGGTAGTAGTAGTTGGAAAACAGAAATATTAACTACCTTTTTTTACATAGGATATTGTAAAATGCAACTTTTTCATTAATAGGTTTGCAAAAATTCCAAACACTACTACTTTGTGCAAAAATAATTGTACTATTGTAAGTGTATTATTTTTTTGCATTGAATTACACATTCCTTGTGAGAACTATTTTTCAAGTTTTGATTTATTCTTTATATTAACCCTAACCATTGTTCTTTAACATTACCAAAAATGTATATTAGAATTCTTTAATTCCATACAACCGGTAAATACAGAGAGCAAAATATTTTTTAAGATCAACTACATTTACATTTTAAATAATTTAAGGTTATAAATAGTTTGTTTGTTGATCAATTTAAAAAAACCGCTATAGCTCTGTAGTGTAGCATTCATTTGGATAAGTGTACGTTTTGTATTTCTATATAAAAACTATAACACAGAACAATACAAATAATAGTCAATTATTCAAAATATGTTAAATTCTACAGAATATTTCAATGGTTTTAAATTATTATTGTGTGGTTGTTGACTTTCTGAAAGTATTAGACGTTTTTGGACATGTGTCCTTTGCAAAAGCTTTGACTAAAAGTGAAACAATACTCAGAGTTTAGTCCATTTGTAGAGGATATGGCCTCTCACAGGTAGTTAATCTGTAAGCAGAGAGCGCTCCCTTCGCTCTGGAGGAAGGAAGGAAAAACTGGCTTATCAGAAACCTGACCAAATATGGCGTGGTGAAACTGCCTGCTGTATGACGTTCGGCTAGATATGAATTGAAGGTGCAGCCATGTAGTCTACTTTACCATACTTTTTTGCTAAGAACTTCCTTTTACAATATGGACTCTAGTTTTGAACCAAACGACAGAAAGATAGTGCGAACGAGGTATCAGTATTGTTGGAACCAATAGACTGCCTAATTGAAATGCTAATGAGATGCTACGATTTTAGCGGACACTTTCTGACACACAGTGAGACCTCTGCAATGTTTCCCCCTAGCTTCACTATCAGAGGGATATCTTTAGGAATTAAAACATGCATTATAACTATGATGAAGCACAAAAAACTAATATGTAAAGCATGCATTGCAACAACACACCTGGAGCTGACAGGAATGTTCTGCATGTGCACTCGTGCATTTCCGTTTGCTGTCTCAATATTTCCTTTCTGCTGCACACACATCTACAGTTACACATTGACTTTTCAAAAGTAACCCGGCTGGTCTGACAGGCCACAGTGTAAATACTGCAACACTGAACACTAGCTGCTCCTACACAAACCTCCAAGTTAAACTCTTAACATGTTATCGTTGGTGTTTGAAACTTCTTTGAAACTCTGTTGAGCTCAGCAGTGTGTCTCTGTTTGTTTACTGGGTGGTCCCTGAAATTCCTACAGTACTTTGGGCTTCATTTATGTTTGTCGGACTATAACCGGTTTAGGACAATGGCGATTCTGTCTGACAACAATAGGTGGAAATACAGCTGCAGAGGAGTGTGCGCACCACTCACCCGCGGATGAGCCACATGAGAAATTAGAGCATAAAGGAAGCTGCGAGGAGAATGGAATGGGAAGCTTTTCTGGCACATTGGTCGTCACTTTGAGAGCTTTTTTACATTTCATTCATTCTCCTTCTTTCACTCTGTGCTCTCTCTCCTGTCCTGCCTGCCAACCCTCTCTCCCTCTCCCTCCTTGCTCAACCTGCTTATCTAAACTGGGCAGGGCTCGATATACTCACAGCACAAGGGGAGGGCCTTGCCTGCTTTCAATCAATAACCTCTGGAATTCAGAAATACAAGTAGGTCCTGTCTCTGGCAAGGCTGTGCCACAGTCTTGAGGGCGGGCTCCCAGGCACACTCGACGGATTCTCTATCTGCTCCTGTCTCTTTCCACAGGTCTGACTGTTTTGAGACTCACAATGGCTGACCACACGTCTCAAGATTACTTCAGCTGCTCCCTGTGTGTGAACCTGCTGCGGGACCCTGTGGCTATCCCCTGCGGCCACAGTTTCTGTATGGACTGCATCAGCGGCTACTGGAATGAGGCTGACTACACAGGGATTTACATTTGCCCTCAGTGTAATATCACATTCACCCAGAGGCCAGTGCTGCGGCCCAACGCCACTCTGAGCATGGTGGCAGAGAAGATCAAGAAGAGTGGGCTGAACCTCAACCTCAACATGACCCCGGGGAACCAGTACGCAGGACAAAACGACGTGCCCTGTGACTTCTGCTCCGGGAAGAAATTAAAGGCTGTGAAGTCCTGTCTCAACTGTCTGGCGTCCTACTGCGAGAAACACCTGAAGCCCCACTACGAGTCAGCCACTTTCAAAAGGCACAAGCTGGTGGATGAGCTCGGAAACCTGGACAGGAAGATCTGCCCGCAGCACCAGAAGTCCCTGGAGCTCTTTTGCCGAACAGACCAGATGTGTATCTGTGCTATCTGCACTGTCAGTGAACACAAGGGCCATGACATTGTCTCTGCTGAGGCGGAGAGGGGGGAGAAGCAGGTAAGAAATCACTTTAAATGGATCCTTTTTATTGACTAAAAGGCTCAGAATTTAAATGAGCTTCTAAGGGAATGCAAGTGTGATTTCATGTCAGAAAGATAAGTGTATTCAGTACATGGGAGAAACCACACGCCTCCTAGTCCAAACATAATATCATTTACAGACAGATTAAAAAGAAGAACATGCGTGATACATTTGATTTTATAGTGAATATCTTGAGTTAAAGCAAACATGGTGTTTTTCCCATATCCTGCCGGTTGTACTTTGACCCATTTCAGCAACACTATCAGCTGAAACTGGCACTCTGTCTCTCACCGCCAAAACAAAATCCAGCTCTCCCATTAGCTGTGTTGAAGCCGTGGGAGGGTCTTACGGTTATCGCCTCTGAAAGCTCCCTTTTTCTAGAGAAAATTTAGTGTTCCAGTTGTGGGAGAGATACACAGAAACTTCCCTCTCGGCTGCATTGGTTCCCATCTGTGGGAGGGGGTCTGCAGTAAAACTGGAATGTCAAGGCCTTCAACACCTCACGATCCACCAACCACGGCCACGCACTTTCAAATGACTCACCAATCACATCGCTGTAAAAAGGATGAGAAGTAGATAAGAGTGGCAACAGATACTGTCGTAAAAATCATTCAGAGCAACTCTAGTTTTTACACATGAGTAATTTACGAGCGTTTTATGGGAGAATATGGGTTAAAGGATTTTTTAGGACATGATGAGTAATAATTCATCTTGCTGTTTTCTTCTCTACATTGGGAGTCTGGTTTCTCTCATCCAAAGATTTACAACCTGAGTCCCACACATCTCACTCCCGCTCTCTCCCCTCCCCCCTCTTATGTTCACCACCCCTCCCTCCTAGATTCCCCACATTCCTCAAGCTTATCTTAAAGAATGGGTTGGTGGGCTCGAGTAAAAGCTGAATTAGAAGCCCTCTATTCTGCATGTCAGTGCTACGTGCACCTTGAAACATCTCTTGAAAAGTCGGGCAGCGGTAGATTCACATTCCTAACGTGGACAGAATTCCATTACAGACACCCCCCCCATCTCCCTCTGAGATAAAAGCCTTTCGTATCAAGAAGATTTCTTTGAGCGCGGTTTATTAGACGGGGCCTCCCCAGATATGCCTCCATGAGAAAGAATGTTTTCACCCAACCAACAAATATGGGGCTTTATGTCTCATACAATAAAACAGCATGACATCCACTACCTCTTATATAAATCTGCTTTAATGCGACTTTTATGATCAACTTTGCATAGTAAATTAAAGGAAGCCGGTACAGCCAGTCAGCATGGGAGTGCACTCTGAACAAAAGAGTGAAATAGATGGGTGTGTAATGTGCCTTATTCTCTGCAGAAACTTTTGGGAGTCTCCCAAGCTGAGATTAGACAAAAATGCCAGGAGAGGGTGAAGGAGCTGGAGGAACTGAAGACTGCTGTCGAATCACTGAAGGTAAGGAATACATGTTGAATCAAACATCACATTTTTGCTATAAGATATTCTCCATGGATGTGTCTTTGGTAAAACGCTGACACTTCGAGCCTTGTCTCCAGAACTCGGCCCAGAGAGCCATGGTGGACAGCCAGAAGATGTTCGAGGACATGATCCGCTCCATCGAGAGGATGAGGTCAGAGGTCAGCAAGCTGATCGGTATCAACGAGAAGGCCGCTTTCAACCAGTCCGAGGCTTTGATCGAGAGACTGGAACAGGAGATCGATGAGCTGAAGAAAAAGGAGACCGGCCTCAAGCAGCTGTACAGCACCGACGACCACATCCACTTTCTGCAGGTAACATGCAAATAAAGAGCGATTTTAAACCAAACAATATCAACAACACTCAAGTCATTGGTATTTGGGTGTAACTTTTCATTTGACAGCTTACTTTACACAGGCTGTCTATGATTACAATGACAGTATGACGTCATATTTAGTCATATTTGACGTTGACATTTCTAAGCAAGCGATTAAAGAGGCGTTAAAAGCAGACTCATTGTGAATAGAATTTGCATGCATTTAAAAAAATTGACTGGCTCTAAAAGTGATGAGAGTTTCAATCAGAGGTGGAGTGTAACTAATTAATTAGAGGTGGAGTGTAACTAATTACAGTGACTTGAGTACTGTACCTAAGTAAAACATTTGAGGTACTTTACTTGAGTGTCTTTCTTTTAATTACTTTCTTCTTCTGTTTCTCTACAATTCAGAGGAAAAATACAAATAATTACAAATAATTTGATAGCTTTATTAACTAGTCATTTTTAGACTCAAATACACTTAAATAAATTAGTGATGGCATTGCTCACAATTTGCCGAATTATTTTAACTCAAACTATTCAATCAACAATATAAACAGCAGATTAATCCATAACAAAATAATTAATTGTTGCAGTTCTATACAAAACATCTCAAAAGAAGCTTCCCCTCAAGTACAATCCTGCTTTTACTTTAATGGGTGAATAATAATCTAGTGATATAATAATATAAGAGTCACTGGAGCCATTTTTCTGCATTGACTAGTATGATTTATTTTTTTATTCTCAAACAGTTCAATTTTAATCTTCAAAAAAAAAAATGTTTTCTTTTAGAGTCACTGTTTATTTTTAAGGGTTGACTGTGGATTGTGCGTCTTGATATTTCAATTGCATCTAGACCTTCCAGTCTACATTTATTTCCTCTACCACTGGTTTTAAAAGCTTTAAATCCATGTGAAAAGATATATTTACTCTACTCAATCTGGTTTCTTAAATAGTTCATGTTAATGTATATTTATTCCTCGCCATGTGACACTTACTTATCTTGTCCCATCAGAACTTCAACTACCTTTGCACCCCCACTGATGACGGCTATATACCCAGAGTGACGGTGAACCCCGACTTCTCCTTTGGCGCTGTGAGGAAAGCTGTGGCTGAGATCAAGGACCGCCTGGAGGAGTTTGGCCGTGAGGAGCTGCTCAAGATCTCCAAGTCAGGTGAGACCTTAGCAGCAGACACGCAAAATGTTTACATGACGGCCAGAAAACAAATAACTGAATTTACTTAAAATAAATGTTGTCTTTCTTACAGTGAATGAGGTTCCAGTGTACACTACAGAAAGTCGTACATTGGACAGAAGGAGCAGAGGTGAGTGCTGTCACGTCCTATAGCAATATAAGCATGCGGAAAGTTAATTATTGTTGAGGTTAACAATGTGGTTGTTGAAGGAAAACCACTAAGTGATTGCATCATAGAGCCTTTAGTTGAAAACACTGCAAAAAAACAAGAGAATGAAAGGCATGTGTGGGTGTGTTCAGTTCAACCTGACCTGTGCTGCTCCATTTTCAGGCAAAGAAGTGGTGGACAACACTCCTCCAGAGCCAAGAGGCAGAGCTGACTTTGTGAAATGTAAGTATCTGCTGAAAAAGGGTAAAGAATATCGTATTTACTCAAATACAACACCATTAAAATTCCACGGTTAATAACTTTTTTTTGTATTACAAGTTTTCTGAAATGGAATGTTTGAATATGCATAGCAGACATCATCTTATTAAATATGAGCTGATTTTTTTTTGTTAACTTCCTGTATAACGGACAAAGGTTTTAGATATTTCTTTCTCTCATCTCATAAATCAGAAAATACTGCCAGCAGCCATCATTTATGCCATATTTTTAGCAATAAAATGTGATATAAACAGTGTTGGGACCAACGCGTCACACAGTAACGCCGTTACTTTTTTGCAGTAACTAGCACTCTAACGCATTACTTTTAAAATCCAGTAACTCAGTTACCGTTACTACATGGTGCGTTACTCCGTTAGTTTTTTTTATGTATAGTCAACAGCCAGGCGAACAGAGATGAGAACTGTACTTAAGTACAGTACTTGAGTAAATGTACTTAGATACTTCCTGTGTCACATGCGGAGACGGGCTGTGGGCGTGTTTGTGTTGTTTACTAACAAGACTATCATGGCGGCGGCGGAGCTCAAGTCTAGTTTCTCCACCTGGAGATATTCTCACTATTTCACTTTTGTCGAGCACAAAGAAAAGAACGTTTTAGTTAAATGTAAGTTGTGTCTTGGCGGGTCAAAGATCCTATCTACTGCCCAAACCAGTCATTCAAATCTCTTAAAACATCTGCAAAAACAACATGCTGGGACGAAGCTAGTAGCTAAGACCACAGAGACTCAGCCGACGCCACTCCACCTCCACCTAAGCAACAGCGGCTGGATTTTAACCAAGGGACTGCTAGCCAGGGAAAAGTCGATAAAGCCATTGCACGGTATGTTGTAGAACACATGCAGGCTATTGCTACAGTGGAGTTACCCGCTTTCAGGGAGCTAGTTAGCATGATAGCATGTCCGGGCGGCACACGGCATATGGGACGGAACACTTTTTCCAACTACCTGGAGAAAGAATATACAAAAATGGAAAGCCAGCTAATATCGATGCAATCCAGATTGCATATAATGCATGTCAAGTTGATCAACAGATTGTATTATTCTCCAATGCAATAACAGTACTGAAATGAAGGCTATAAGGGCATTAATGGGAGCCATTTTTGTAAGTAACTAAAACGTTACTTTTCACAGTAACACATTACTTTTGGGTGTAAGTAACTAGTAAAGTAACTGAGTTACTTTTGAAATGAAGTAACTAGTAATGGTAACTAGTTACTGGTTTTCAGTAACTAGCACAACACTGGATATAAATCATGCTGTGAATAATATATGTAAAAACCCTTGTGTAAATACCATCAGAATATATATAGAAATAAAAGTGTGTTGCATGTAACGGAAATAGAGATTGTGAAATGGGCCTTAAACATGTTTTTATATAAATGTTTATAATTCCATATATTTTGCAAGATACAGGTGAACGGGGTGAAAGAGTTTATTCGACAGATATCCCCATGAAACTTCCGCAGTTTCAAGACAATTATTTTTTGTATTACAATATTATTAAAATGATATGTTTAAATATGCAAATTTGGGTGGATTTGAAATAGACAATGTTGGTAAAATAAACACCTTATTGTGTATTTTCGATGTTTTCTTTTCACTAGTCTGAAAGAAAATGGCAGCAAAACTTCCCAAAATCTCAAAATGGCCCAGTACATTTCCAGTGCAGTTGCCTGTAGTGTCTCATCATCATCCAAATTGAAAACACACTTCAGTAACCTAATAAATAATACAGAGCTGTGTGGCTTTTTCTCCTCCAGACTTCTGCCAGCTGAAACTGGACGCGGTCACAGCCTACAAGGAGCTGTACGTGTCTGAAAACAGCAGGAAAGTCCTCCGCACCAGGGACCTGCAGCCGTACGGGGACAACCCGGAAAGGTTCGACAGCTTCGCCCAGGTGCTGTGCCGCGAGGCCCTGGCGGGGGGGCGCTTCTACTGGGAGATAGAGTGGAGCGGGGAGTTCTCCATCGGGGTGGCCTACAAGAGCATCAGCAGGAAGGGAAAAGGCTCCCTGTGTCTGCTGGGCTACAACGACAAGTCCTGGAGCCTGCTGTGCTCCGACACCGGCTACTCTGCCTGGCACAACCGCGTGGACAAAGCCGTCAGCGGCCCCCACTCCCCCAGGATAGGCGTGTACCTGGACCACAGTGCGGGGGTGCTGGCCTTTTACAGCATAGGCAACACCATGACCCTCCTGCACAGGTTTGAGACCACTTTTGTCGAGCCCCTCTTCCCAGGCTTCGGAGTTGGAACCTCGGTAAAGATCTGCAACGTCAAGTGATCTTTGAAAATCTGAATGTTTTTCTCCTATTATACAGTTATCCTTTCAGAATATATATTTTTGCAACAGTTTTAAACTGCACCAATCCACATTAATGAAGTTATTTTTGAAGAAAAATGCTCCTCCCAATGTGTATATACTTTTTTAAAGCTACACTTCACACATTAAGTTTTGCATTGTGCTTTCAACTCACATTTTCATGATATATTTTATAAGATATTATTAAAATAGACATCACTAAAGTACACTATAAAATGCTAACACTTTTAGCAGCTGATCATAACTGCTGGATAATATTATAACATGTCACTATTATATTTTTACATGTAATTTCATAAAGGGCTGTGACATATCTGAAGTGGTGATGTAATTAAGTCATAATGGATGTACACTGAGATAAGATACTTTTTTATGGTAGGTCTTTACATTGTTGGCCAATATTATTGCATGTAATTTAAAATATATTGCACCATTGTGATCTCTATGAGAAATACTTTAATATTCATGTTGGTGCATTTGCAGCTATCACTATGGTTTCAACACATTCAGAAGTATTTCATTGTCATTTGTTGTTGAAATGTTTTGATATTATCAGTTCTTACAGCTGTTGTTTTTTCACCTGAACTAACCCTTATTTAATTTGTATGTATGTTTACTTATATAATGGACCCGCAGAGTATAATTGATAAAGACTTTTTTTTAACAAAATGATTCATTGTTAGTTCTGAATAAAGAGCTAAATGAATGAATAATGTGTTTTTGAGATTATTTCTATCTATCCCTACCTACATAAAAAAACATAAGGAGGAACAATTGTATCTCATTGCTGAGGATTTAAGAGCTTTTATTTTGTTTGTGATTTAAAAAAGATGTATTTTTAAATAATTGTGTTTAGATTAGGGCTGTCAAACGATTACAAATTTTAATCAGATTTAATCACAGCTTAAAAATTAATTAATCATGATTAATCACCATTCGAACTATGTCCAAAATATGCCATTTATTTATGTATATTGTTGTGGGAATGGAAAGAAGGCAGATATATCCATTTAACATATAGTATCTATGTTTATTATAACATCCCTATTTATACAACCCACACACCTATCAATCATCAAACCGTGGGGTCTTAATTCATTACGTGTTGATTTCTATCAACGGGGGAGTACTTCAGGAAAGTCGACAGAGGGGGGGGGGGGCGCGCTAGTGGAGTACTTCTTGACCACAGAGTGTGAACGTTGTGATCAGCTGTTTTAGCGCAGTTCTCCAGTGAAGGGGGGGGGGGAGTCTCCCTCCGCAGCCGGTTGGCGTAGTTTTGGCACAATTCCGTTGTACAGACCGACGTTAACAGCAGCCCTGTCTGTGCACACGGAGACCGACTCTGTCGTCCGGTGATCTAACCGCCTTCTGGAAAAGCTTCACAGGTACGTCGGTAAGCAAATGCGCTTTGTGACACAAGCAGGGGCGGCGCCAGGGGGGAGCTAGGGGGTGCTGAAGCACCCCCCAGGATTGCCAAAGCACCCCCTAAGCACCCCCAAGAAATATGTGGGTTTTTTTTTCCGAAAATTATTAATATTATTTTTATTAAATTAAATCAGAAAAATTATTGATTACATCAATGCAAATGTGAAACAAACAAATGTTTGACCAAAAACATAAAGCCAACACAGGTGATATGATTAGGCCAATGGCCAGCACCCATTAGATTTTTGACCTACCCATAGGCTAAATTACTTTGTGACACTTGAGTGACTTCCTGTTAGCTGGAGCCCCACATTATTTGCTAACAGCAAAGTGACAAATGGATCGTTTTTTAGTCCTTAAACGTCCACATGTGGACACTCAATCAAAACCAACTGAAAGCGAGAGGGATTCTACACATAATAGGCCTCGTGAGTACAAGTAGCTTACTTCTGGGTCTGTTTCATTCAAGCTCTGCTCTGTGTGTGTGTGGCACGAGCCATTTTGTGTGCGTGCGCAAGCGAGCGAGAGCTCGCGCACCGGTGGGTATCTACCGGAGATCGTTGTGGTTAGCATCTGGTGCTCGCTAGCCAAGCTAACGGATATAAGGAGCTTTTTCAACAACAAGGTGGAGGGAGAACTCTCTCCTGTCAGACGGAGAGTCTCAGATAACCTCAGCTCAGGTGAAGTAAAGGACTCTCAGTGTTTAGATAGTTAACTTTAGTCTAGTTATCTCAGTGGGTCTGAAACGGTTTGTTTTAAAAGGGGAGTGATTTATCTATAAAGAAATAGAAAATCTGTTTACAGTTCTGTTTCATATGTATGTTGAGAGATACAGTATATCCATAGATCTCTTCATTTTGTTCTCAAAGTGCACCAGATTGATGCTTTTAACTTCAATATTTAAAAAAAAATCTTCTGTAGCGCTGGTGCATTAATGGGAAACCCTTAATGTTTGAGCACCCTCTATGAAACGTCAAGCTACCCCACAGCACCCCCTAGAGAAAATCTCTGGCGCCGCCACTGGACACAAGTGACGGTACGCATTTCAGATTACGCACATAACCTGCGTACCAGTTATGTGCACCCCTGTACTACAGCAAAAGTATTCTCCGTCGGGACTTCCTGCAACAACACCACGCCGTTATCAAAGATGTTCTATTGAGAAGACGATCACTACGTGACAAAAGTTTTCAAAACCGTGGCTACTGAAATCAATCTTACTAACTGCTGTCTGTGCAATTTACTCCGCGCGAGTTGGCAGACTTTATTTTGCTTCCTTTAACATCATTTTTCATGGTGGGGCTAAGCCATTTCTTGGTATGGGTGTAGCCTACCCCAGCCATACCCTGGCGCTGCCACTGGTGGCACGTATTCTTTCACACACAGTGACGTCACAGCTACCCACAATGCAACGCGCGCCATATATTTTTTTATAAAGACGCCATTTTTCTGGAGGTGCAAAAATCCTGCCAATGCTAATATAAAAAGCTAGCTTATGTTGCCAGGCAGAGCGCACTAGGTTTTTTTTCTGAATTAACGACCGAATAAATCGCTGCATGTCTTCGGATTACATCTCTGGACTTGAGGGGTGTGCTCTAGGTCGTTACCAGCGTAAACTAGAGCTGTGTGGGTTGTTGGATGTACAATGTATGGAATTACGACCCTCAAAAGTGGCCTTCGGTCGATTTTGGCTGCATCTACGTCTATCTTCTGGAAACACCAGGTGAATACCCCACTTGTCACAATAATATTATCATGCCAATGCATATATGTGGTATTTTAGAGTTGACTATATTGATTAAGGCAATCGACTATGATATTCTGTATGCACCTCGCGTGAAATGGTTGATACCGGAAGTACGGTCTCGGCCGAAAACCCGTATGTGTGTGTGAAAGAATGGGGCGGGCCATTCTGCACATGCGTTAAATGCGTTAAATATGTTAACGCAATTAATTCAAAAAAGTAATTACCACCGTTAACGCGATAATTTTGACAGCACTAGTTTAGATATAATTCTAACTTTGAAATTATTGAGCTGGTATGTGGACCATTCCATGTATAACCACATGTGAATAACCAAAGCACCTGCTCTGAACAAACACTTTCATATTCACAATACTAACAGCTCCCCCTGTTGGTTGATTATAGGAACTGAACTTAAATAAAAATGGACCATGGTTATAAATATTGATCCTAATTAAATGTATAGTCAAGCTGCCAAAATAACTTTGTTCTGACTGCATCATCAAAGGTGCTCTCTAAGGAAATATGACATGTTTAAAAGGATACATCCAGTTTTCTGCACAAATCTACAATAGTACATCATTATACTGATTTAAGAAGAGAATGTACTGTTATGCTTATCTAAACAGCAGCTCATACACATCCATTTGTATATGAGATCAGCTCATTGTGTATATTGGTCTTCAGGTGTAATCTGCAAAATATTGGCAATGACAAGTGTAAATCCAATGTAGGAATTAAGTAAGAGGTGAGCATTGTGTTCCTCAGTGCCTATGGAAAATCATCATACCCCTTTGAAACAGTTACCTTATTTGTCGTACAACCTGAAATCAAAACCCATTAAAAAAAAATCTTTATTTACAAATGTTGCCTTGGCGACAGTTCTGAAAATTAATTAAAAAAACTAGAATAACAGTGTTGGAAAAGTCATCAGTCCCCTAATTTAATACTTGGTAGAGCCATCTTTTGCTGCGGTTACAGCCATCAATCTTTTTTAATATGTCTCTATTAGCTTTGCACACCTCCATTGGGGAATGTTTGCCCATTCTTCCTTGCAGAATTGTTCGAGTTCAGTCAAATTCCATGGGGAGCGACAATGGACTGCTCTCTTCAAGTCCATCCACAGATTTTCTATCGGATTTAAGTCAGGGCTCTGACTTGGCCACTCTAGGACATTCACCTTCCCTTAACCCAGTGGTTCCCAACCTGGGGGGCGCGCCCCCCTTGGGGGTGCGCCAAAGATCGCAGGGGGGGCGCCAGGCCTCAGATGATTTGAGGCCAAATATCATATTTAGACTTTGTATGTATACATATAATTGTAACGCAATAGATGATTGTCACTAAAGGCCTTGTCTCTACATTACAATAAAATATAAAAAAATAATAATAATTGATTCATTAATTTGAATAAAAATTCAAGTTAGTATTAAAGGCATAAAAAGACAGAAATGTATAATTTTTTCTTTAATAGAAATGTTTCTTCCGCCCGTAAAGTGTCCAAACCAGGCTTTTCTGGATAAGCGCATTTTTAAAACATAGTCATTGTCCATGCCGGTTTCAGTTGGATTATTTGTCACAGTTGCTCCGATCAGATCGGTCTCCTCCATTTTGTAGATTATTTACGACTTTTGAATCCACATAAAAACATCATCAAAATCCGGCTTACTTTGAGCATGTGTTTTAAACAGTTTAATCCCTTTGTGAATTGTTTCCACTTGCGCCGTCCTTTAATTTCTTCATACAGCGGGAATCCAAATAAATTAATCCTGAGTCCAATAACCATCAAAGTCACTCCAACAGTGCTCCTTAATTACGCTTTCATCCTCCTTTAACAAAATACGTCACATTCATCCAGTTTTGACAGTAGTCAGGGGCGCCGTAAGGGGGTGAAAAGTTAGGACGATTCTCAGGGCCCGTGACTGACAGGGGCCCAAACTATTTGATAACATTAAGAAAAAAGATTGTAAGTAACCAATGTGATATCTTTTCATGGGGCCCAAAATCCCTGCCGGCGGCCCTGACAGTAGTTGTAGCATTTTTGAGACTTTTAAACTTTAATTACCGCTGTTGCGCCCCGTCCCCCCACCCCCCAGTGTGTGTGTGTGGGGGGGATGCAACTTCTAACAGTCATTTGGGGGGGCCCTTGGGAAAAAAGGTTGGGGAACCCCTGCCTTAAGCCACTGAGTTGTTCTTTTGGCGGTATGTTTAGGATCCTTGTCATGTTGGAAGGTGAACCAACTGCCCATCTTCAGCTGTTAAGCAGAAGGACGCAGGTTTTCCTCAAGAATGTGGGTGTACTTGGCAGCATCCATTTTCCCTTCAATGCTGATCAAGTGCCCAGTCCCTGCTGAAGAGAAACATCCCCACAACATAATGTTGCCACCACCATGCTTCACAGTAGGTATGGTGCGTTTTTGATGGTGTGCTGTGTTTGGTTGCCGCCAAACATAACGCTTGGAGTTCAGTCCAAAAAGTTCAATCTTAGTCTCATCTGACCATAGATCCTTTTTCCACATAGCAACATAATCTTCCAGGTGTTTTTGCATAGCAAAAACGAGACTGAGTGTGGCACCTTTTCAGAAAAGGTTTCTTTCTTGCCACTCTGCCATAGAGGCCAGCTTTGTGTAATGTTTGTGAGATTGTTGTCACATGCACAGACCGACCTGTCCCAGCCATAAAGTCTTGTAAGTCCTTCAAAGTTGCCATTGGCCTCTTGCTAGCTTCTCTGATCAATGTCCTCCTAGCTCGTTCATCCACGGACGGCCTGATCTAGGCAAAGTGTTGGTTGTGCCATACGCTTTCCACTTCTTAATAATGCTGTGAACAGTACTCAGAGGGATAGCTAAAGCCTTCGAAATCTTTTTGTAGCCTTCATCTTAACTTGTGCCTTCCTACAACTTTATCTCTGAGGACTTTTGAAAGCACTTTTCCAACCATGGTGATTTTTGTGCAGTACCATGCACTGCTAGTCGTGGAATCCTCTAGAAACAGCTGGTTTTATTCTGAAGTAATCAAAATCACTTCAATTGATGTCAGGTGGAGGACAATTATCCTTGTGTTTGATCTGGATGTTGATTGGTTGTACCTGAGCAGGTTTATAATGGTACACTCCAAGGGGCTGATCACTTAACCAAACCGGTTATTTCACTTATACATTTAAAATAACTGTTCATTTTGCTTTGATTATGAGGGTCATAATATGTACATACAGCTCAAAAAGGTAAGATTTAATTTATTTTAATTTCCAGGGTGTAATGTGACAAAAGGTTAAGATTTTCACAGGGTATGATGACTATATAAGCACTTAATACTGTATCTTGAGCAGAAAGTAGATTTTTAATATGCATGTTTCATAAGCAGATTTTTTGAAAGGGACTATTCCATTCAATCGAAACTATACAAAAACAAAGTTGTCAAATCCATGCATATTATATGAAAAGAAAGTAATCAGAAAATGACATGTGTTAACAATAGATATCTGTTTATTGGTTCCCAGGATTCTTGCTAGAAATTGAGCATACAACGCTCAAAAGAAAAAAGAAAGCATTACAGTCCATATCTCAGACATCATAGCCAACGATGCCTCCTTTGCCGATGCACTCCCCAATGTAGAACCACATCATTACTTCAGTGGCCACCAGTCCGTTCCTTAGAGCATCCTGTGAGGAAACAAAGATTGCATTAGATTCACTTCCAGAGAAATGTATCAAGCAAAATGCTGAATAATCCACTGATGACACGTAGTCATTGTGGAATGATAAAATCATGTTTTTATTTTCTACAGGACTCAAAATGACAAGAGAATTATACTGATAGATACACCTCATCGTATCCTCACTGTGAAAATGTTATAAAGAAAAAACATATCTTAAAAAGAAATCAACCTGCACAACCTACTTGTTTTCTCTCAATGAATGAAGCAGGCCTAAAATGGCACATACAAGGGTCATTCCAGAATTGGAGGACATTTCATGTCCCCCATATAAAAAAATTAGGGCTGTCAAACGATTAACATTTTTAATCAGATTAATCACAGCTTAAAAATTAATTAATCATGATTAATCACCATTCGAACTATTTTCCAAAATATGCCATTTATTTATGTATATTGTTGTGGGAATGGAAAGAAGGCGGATATATCCATTTAACATACAGTATCTATGTTTATTATAACATTTTCTGCGTGTCAAAATGAAAGATAACCCACACACCTATCAATCATCAAACCGTGGGGTCTTAATTCATTACATTACATTACATTACATTGCATTTAGCTGACGCTTTTGTCCAAAGCGACTTACAATAAGTACATTCGACCAGGAAGACACAACCTTGAAGAAAACGGAATCATATAAGTATATCAGGTTTCATAGAGCCAAACATTTCAAGTGCTACTCAACTGGCTTTAGGTAATCCAGTCCTTTATTGGTATAAAAGTGCTTCGTTAATCGTTCTAACGCTCGAAGTGGAGTCGAAAGAGATGAGTTTTCAGTTTGCGCCGGAAGATGTGCAAGCTATCTGCCGTCCTGATGTCAATGGGGAGCTCATTCCACCATCTTGGAGCCAAGATAGCAAACCCACGTGTTTTCGCCGATGGGAACTTGGGTCCCCCTCGCAGCGAGGGCGCAACGAGTCGTTTGGCTGATGCAGAGCGTAGTGCACGCGCTGGGGTGTACGGTTTAACCATGTCCTGGATGTAGGAAGGGCCAGATCCATTCGCAGCACGGTAAGCAAGTACCAGTGTCTTGAAGTGGATTCTAGCAGTTACCGGAAGCCAGTGAAACATTACGTGTTGATTTCTATCAACGGGGGAGTACTCCGGGGGGGGAGTCTCCCTCCGCAGCCGGTTGGCGTAGTTTTGGCACAATTCCGTTGTACAGACCGACGTTAACAGCAGCCCTGTCTGTGCACACGGAGACCGACTCTGTCGTCCGGTGATCTAACCGCCTTCTGGAAAAGCTTCACAAGTACGTCGGTACGCAAATGCGCTTTGTGACACAAGTGACGGTACGCATTTCAGATTACGCACATAACCTGCGTACCAGTTATGTGCACCCCTGTACTACAGCAAAAGTATTCTCCGTCAGGACTTCCTGCAACAACACCACGCCGTTATCAAAGATGTTCTATTGAGAAGACGATCACTACGTGACAAAAGTTTTCAAAACCGTGGCTACTGAAATCAATCTTACTAACTGCTGTCTGTGCAATTTACTCCGCGCGAGTTGGCAGACTTTATTTTGCTTCCTTTAACATCATTTTTCATGGTGGGGCTAAGCCATTTCTTGGTATGGGTGTAGCCTACCCCAGCCATACCCTGGCGCTGCCACTGGTGGCACGTATGGGGCGGGCCATTCTGCACATGCGTTAAATGCGTTAAATATTTTAACGCAATTAATTCAAAAAATTCATTACCGCCGTTAACGCGATAATTTTGACAGCACTAAAAAAAATCTAATAATCCATGCCCAAAATGCTAAAACATGCACTTGTTGTGTTAAGCATACTTGTCTTGAGACAAAATGTATATCAAGTTGTAGAAAAAGTGGTTTCAAAATATTATTTAAATGATCAAATAGCTCTCGAACACCCCCTAAAATTGCATTTTTCTCTTGTCCCCGCTTCTTGGTGACCAACTTGCATGTCAAATATAACATTTCAAATAGGGATTTTATTTACTTTTTTTGGTATTATTCTATTGATATATGTCTCTTGTAATGGTGAAATAAATTTGTTAAATCATAAACACGTTTTAAATAACAGTAATTTTGCACAGAAGGTGTGTCCCTCAACATGCGTTCAACCCTGTTACCCAAACCTTTTTAGATTGGCAGAGGAAGTGAACAAACTGTAAGTCAGATGACACAGTGGAAAGGACATCAGCAAGCCATGTGCTAGTGCCATGGGTAGACCAAAACTAAGTCCTCTCTTTTATTTTTCATATTTTTACAATCTTTTCAGTCTTAAAAGAGTGTGGCACTCAACCCTGTTACTCATATTATCAGAATAAAGCATATTCATTTCAAAGTGATCTTTCTTTCGTTAAATATCCAAGTTTGTCCTTGCCTTGAAAGTAGCATTACATGCTACATAATTCCTGAGGTTAAAGCTCAAATTAGCATTGATTTTCAACCCTGTTACTATAATTGGAGTAACAGGGTTAATTCTTCATTTGATGCCTAGCTGGGCAAATCACTTTCATGGTTTATTATCTGTTTTTCCTAAATACATTAAAAAAATTAATTAAATAAAAGGTTCATTTTTTTTTTATAAATGGTGTCTAAATAGTCCTCCAATTCTGGAATGACCCACAAACTGCCAATTCAACTTTAAATGCTTGTAATGGGCTTTCTAATTAAAAAGGTATATATTATTATTTTATATTCTAAGTTTCAAGGTAGTTGTCATCCTTTAGACATCAATATAAGTGAAGCAGACATCTTGGGTCTTAGGCTCTGTACAACAATGCTTATACAAATAGAAAGGAAAAGTACTCAAGACAAAGCAAAATGAGAATCAGAGACATCAAATAGTGCAAATTCAACAAAAGGACTCAAATATAAACATTATTAAAACTAACTTAATTGTTACACATGTGATACAAATTGAAATTGAATGAACTAAATGTTAGCAGTAATCTAGTCATGTATATGCATAATGAGAAGTAGTAAAGCAAGAAAGTGATAATTAAAAACAGACATACAGAGAGAGATGTGAAAGGACTAAACAGAATACACCGTTTTTAAAAAGAAGGTAAAGAAAAAGTATTGTGGTGGATCTCAAACAGTGGAGCTCATAACATGTCACCATTATTTTCATAACAAACACTTGATAGATATTCAAGCAGTCATTCAGAATATATCTTTACATAAGGTCTGGCAATAACACACCCACCTTCACTGTAAGTTGACCGAGACGTCCTGACTGGAAGCCCTTCAGGAGGTTTGCGGCCCCCTCAATGGCCTTGGGGATCTCCGCAGGGGAAGGGGGGGTAAGCTCAACACGGGCATAGTACCAGAACTTTGCTAGCCGAGGTTTTGTGTAGTTGAGGGAGGCTGTAAGAGAAGAAATGCTGTAAGTACAAGTCTGGTGCAGCTTTCATTAGCTACGGCTAAACCTAGCTCTGGCTCCATAGCTCCACACACACAGCTGAATAGCTTTAGCCACTTAGCTAACTGATACACGGCTTGTACTTATTTAGTGTAAACAATACAAGTCACGCGTGCTAGCTAGCTGAAGTTGTACTTTATAAAAACAAAGAAAAGCAATTCAAATGATCAACTCTGTTTTCTGCAATAAATGTTAGCTGGCTCATGTCACATCCATTTAATTCATTTGATATCTGGGTTTTGACAGCGTCGGCCGAGCTGCATTGTAAATAAAGATTATACTAACTATAATTCACTCCCCCATTATTGGATGCACGTTATGGTTATTGACTTAAGAAATGCACTTACCGCCTATCAGGGTTGGTACTTTGGAGACCAATTTCTGCACTGCCTGTGCCATGTTGAAGCGTTTGTCGATGCTAACTCTCCCCCTGAATCTGTTAGCCGACTGAATGTCACCTCCAGAAGAAGGACCCGTGACGTCTGCTGACCAAACAACTGCCTGAACAGAAATCGCCTACTACGAATTACTTTATTGACTTGTATGGTGTAAGTTATAATATTGAACGTTTTCAAAAGTTCAACATTATTTATTTTCACTTTCTAAAAGTGTCTAAAGTACGTTACAGTTTAGTTACTGTATTCAATAGTAAACAGCTGCATTGTTTGCCATACGGCCACTAGGGGGTGCAGTAGGCTGTGTCTTGTATGAATGTGACATGCGTACATTCAAATAGATAAAGATAACAGATATGGATAATAAATTAGAGACATTTAAATAGGAATACAAGTGTTTAGGTGGGCAGCATTTTTATTATCATAGCTATATAAGTTTCAATGGTTGGCTATTCACCTTGAAGACGGGAGACGTCATGTAATGAAAATGAATGAGATCCATTATGGGCACCATATCCCGACTCAGAAATGTGTGTCTTTTTATTATACATTTTCACATGGCCCATATATGTTTTTGTCTAATGTATTTTTGTATTACTAGCAGTTTAATATGGCAAATGGCTGCAGATTATTCAGAAACATAGGTAGGCCTAAACGTACAAAATGTACTATCAGTCTCATTCTCAATAAACATACACTCTCTCTGCAAGAACAAACATTTAATAGGTATTGTTTTATTACATTTTAGTTTATACAGTTTCCGGTACTTTAAGCAGAGGTGGGAGAAGTACTCAGATCTTGTACTTAAGGAAAAATAGAAGTAGCCTTACAAAGTGTAGGAATACTCTGTTACAATTAAAAGTCCTGCATTCAAAATATTACTCAAGTAAAAGTACAAAAGCATTGGCGTCAAAATATAATTAAATGACCAAGAGTAAAGATAATCATTGTTATGATTATAATTATTGATGTTTAAATATGATTATCCCAGCCGGTAAAGGTGGAACTCATTTTAATTACTTAATTTACTGCTAGCATGTGAATGTAATCACGGTGTAACTAAAGTCTTATTTAAGTGTTGATCACATATCATTATTCCATATCAGCAAAGTAACTAAAGGTACTACGTTAATGTCGTGGAGTAAAAGTAAAATATTTAACTCTGAATTGTAGTATAAAAGTACAAAGTAGCATAAAATGGAAATACTCAAGTAAAGTACAAGTACCTCAAAATTGTACTTAAGTACAGACTTTGAATACATACTTACACCACTGAGTTTAAGTCATGGAAGTATTTCAGATTGAGATCACAATTGACCATATATTTTCTGCATTATCAGTTATAGTACATTTGTAAACGTTATTTTTATATCATACACTATTACACATTGCAACATTTCTTCAACTGACACTCTTACTATATATTAGCTTATTTTTAAAAATCTTTTCATCTTTTAGTGTTCTTTGTGAAACCCTGGGATTAGAAAAAAGCATTTTTGACCAATATACAGTAATGCTGTTATTACCAATAATACATATAAAATATTTATAAGAAGAAAAATAATGTGAAGAGTGTTTATAATAATATTAATAATCATACTATGTTAAACAATCATTATTTTTGTTCAGCTCAGTTTGAAGTCTCTTCAGTAGACGTATGGGATGCAGAATGTCTTCACTATAGGGTGAGTATCTTTGTCACTCACAGACATGATATCTCATTATTTTCTTCCTCCTGGTGAGACGCAAACAAGAAAATATGGTTAAAAAAGGTGGTCACTGATGACATTATAATTATGTGAAAAGGCTATGTATAATAGTTATACTCACATTTCTTCACCTCACTGTCAGGGATGTCTCTTGTCGGTGTGTCAGTCTGCTCGCGCCTCATGTTAGTCTTATACATGACTAGTAAAGAAATAAAATGTCCTCCTTCTTTCACAAGCATAATCACGTCCTCCAGAGACTTATCTTCCACATTTTGCCCATCGACCTCCATCACAACATCACCCACGCACAGTCCAGCTCTCTGACCAGAGCCCCCAAAAGCCATCTAAAGGGGAAAAAAGACGTGACAAAATTAATGATATCAACAAGATCCTGACCTACATCCTTCTACCACTACTAAGTTGACAAAGTGCAGTGGCGGGAAGTGACTGAGAACATTTACTCAATACTGTACTTAGGTATAATATTGAGGTACTTCTACTTACCTTGACTACTTCCACTTTATTCTACTTTATACGTCTTCTTTGTTATATCTCAGGACATTTTCATGCTTTTTTGCACAACATTTATTTTAGACTCACAGTTCATTTAATAAAAGACCAACACACAGTATATGCTTATATAATACAATGCAGTACCTTTCTACCAATCTACCCAACACTAAGTACAACGCATATAGAACTGGTTCCACTTTTATAAACTACACAACTAAAATGTAAAAAAAAGAAACAGAAGAATATAACACTGTCAAAGAAGATATTCTGCATAATGACTGATTTACCTTTAAGTAAAGAGGTGGGAAGTAACCAAGTACATTTAGTCAAGTACGATTTTGAGATACTTGTATTTTACTTGAGTATTTCCATTTTTTGCTATTTTGTACTTCTACCCCACTACTAAATCGTGTAACTTACTACATTTTTTGTATGTCTTAAGTTACTTTGCAGATTTGGACTACACTTGGAGACACAAGCTACCCTGCAGTATACAGGGTATACATTACAACTAGCTGCACCTTTTCCAGCTTTGATAACACTATAATGCATCAATAATCATAATATATAATACATATTGTCCTGAAAAGGACCAATCTGCATAATGAGTACTTTTACTTTGATACTTTAAATATATTTTGATGCCAGTACTTTTACTTGAGTAATCTTTTGAATGCAGGACTTTTACTTGTAACAGAGTATTCCTACACTCTGGTACTTCTACTTTTACTCAAGTACAAGATCTAAGTACTTCTACTATCGCTGTTTATGTATACATTGCTGAGATTTAGACTCTGATATTTATACTTGTACTTAAACAAAGGCTCTAAGAACCTCTTTCAACACTAACTAATGCAGCATTGTATCTTACCTGACTGATGAAGGTCCCAGGACCCTGTGGAACACTGTCCAGGTTAAAGCCGAACCCCAAAGGGCCTTTTCGGACGGAGCAGTATCTGAGCTTACATGAGTCATCCATTTCCTTTTGTGGAGCCTGCTCTGCTGCAGAGGCTGATACGCTGCTCTCCTTTTCTCTCTCGACAGCAGCATCCTCACAGAAGAGAAGCGGGGATAGACCCAACTGCATACACAAAACAACACAAAAACTCACATTTTTCTTCTGCTTTTGAGATTAAAAGTGTACCAAGTGATGCCCACCTGGGTGTAAAACTCCAGCCCCACGAGACTGATGGTGGTGAGAGATATCTGTTCTCCACTTTGTCTCACTCTGTCAACTATCTCCTCATGCTTCAATGACTCCACCGCCTCCCCATTGACCTCCAGCAGCAGCTCTCCATCCTTCATACCTGCTTTCTCTGCAGGACTGCCACTCTCCATCGCACGCAGAACATGAGCTTATATTCAAAAACAGATATTAAAGTGAAAAAGTAAGTTCAGGAATGCCTGTGTGTGAATGTTGCCCTCTTTTTATCCTCTCACATTTGCGTCCTGATGCTGCCTTCTCCAGCCTAAGCAGGAAGCCGTAGGTGTCGGCCTCTGACACCAGGTGGAGTCTTCTGGCTCTGTGAGGCAGGTTATGTGGAACAGCCATGGCGGGCAGAATGGGCCTCCTCTGACGCAGGTAGTTCTTCTCACTCTCACCGTCAATCACAAGGATGGTGATGTGATTGCCACATTTTTTAATCTACAGCAAAAACATTATTTTACTGCTAGACAAGATTGGATGTAGTAATTGCTATGTTGAAATTGTAAGCATCTCTCGTAGGCATTAAGGTTTAAAGGAATACATCATCGTTTGTATATCAATTACTCAGACCATAGTTATCTGGCATGCCTCTACGGTGAATGAAGAATCTATAATGGACAATAGACTTAATGAATTGAAGTAAATGGTGGCAGTACAAGTCTCGTTAATCCAATTTCATGCTCACTACTTCCCAAATACATGTATTTTGTTTAAGACAGGCCTAACAGGTGGGCAAAATAAAGCGCCCGTGCCCTAGCAATTGTGAAAAAATGCATTTGTTTAGAAAGTAGTAAGTATACAGTGCGGTTCGATAAATGAGACTTAGTTTATATAACTCATACGTTTTGTGAGAGATTTGATGGATGTTTTGATATGGTTTTGATGTTATTAGGCAGCCCCGATTTACAAAAATTAATCAAGACTTCTCTTATGTTTTTGGATTCTTCTTCCCCATGGAGACAATTTATTTTGTAAAAAGTAATTGATGTACAAAAGATAACTTTGGGGGTGAAGTTGTTGTTTAGTTTCATTTGTTTAGTTTTTTCTCAGAAGTTGATTATATAAACAGACTGTCTTACCATCCTGCTGAGTGCGGAGTGTGTGAAATCAGACACTGTTGTTCCATCTATCCACACTAGGTGATCTCCTTTACACACCCCAGCCTTTTCCGCTGCACCTCCTGCTGCCAGGCTCACAGAGAAGCGACCTCCTGTTCCTACAGAGCAGGAACAGGAGGAGCAGTTGAATAACACTGCACAGACTTCAATTCAACTGTTCGCTTAGTCATCAAACCCTGACGTTTTTTTTATCAGGACGGTGAGAGTTACCTTCCACGGGTGTGAAGTTGATGCCCAGACCTGAGGCTGGATCCCTGGTGATGTGGCAGAGTCTGGGTGGTCTGCAGCCCTCGCCCTTGTGCGCACTGACCAGACTTTGAAGGTCTTCACCTCGGGACACAGCCTGCTCGTACTCCTCGCCATCCAACAATAATAAACATAACTGATTTCCACTGAGCCTTATCTTCCCAGCCACCTGATTCATAAAAAAAGAAGATAGTTAGAATCCCGTGAGGCTTGGAATAGGCTTCTAATAGTCCATCTTACCTCAGGGTGAGGGATGTCCTCCACAAAGCAGTTGTTGACTTCCAGAAGCCTGTCTCCATCCTTAAGGCCACTGAACCCTGCCACGCCTCCTGACACTACATTTCTGACGATGTGACCCTGGCGTCCCCTCTCCACCCGCAGATTAAAGCCGTAGGACTCCCCTTCGTCTCGTTTAAGAACACACAGACGTGGGCTGGGTGTGGACACAGAGTCTGAGCCGAAGGAGACAGAAAAGTGCGTTAGAGCTGCTGGGGTAACAGAAGATACACAGAAATAAGTATGAAGGTTTATACCTGCATCTTCTATGGTGACCATCACTGGGTTGTCTATTCCCTCTTTTGGATTAAATGTAAATGTCCTGCAAAAGATAAATTAGAAACATTAGACTCAAGTTTACTTACAAATATAAGAATCGACTAATTGGGTGGGTTTTGGAAAAAAGGAAAAACTGTACATTTTCTTTCCTTGAAAGTCAATCAATAATTTTCCATTTTCTGTGAAATATTAGTTTCACAACCTCACGTGTAATTATCATTACAACATGAATCCACGGACAACCTTATCTTGGGCCCAAAGTATAAAGATGACTTTGTTCCAAAAGTCATATCACTTGTCACAAGACATATAACACATTTTCAATTGTACGTACATACTAAACTTTAATGTGATACAGCAGTTTTGGCAAGTCATGAATGTGTCGTTTTTAGGATGAATGTCCAACTTTGTTTATTGCTGTGCCTTACTATCTTATCATTATTTTTGTTGTAATGGCAGTTTAGTGTTCATGTTTTTCTTAAGTTTAAAATAACATGTATGAGGATTTTACAAAATATAAAAGTAGACTTACTCTGTTAACCGGATGATTTCCAGACCTTGAAAAACATATTGCATAATGAGTTTATTAGCTTTTGCAGAACAATATATAGGGAGAGACATTTCATAATCAGACATTTCTGTCATTATTTTTGAGTTATTATATTCATTTTTTTATTCATTAACACAACACACACCAGATCAAATGTAGCATTGCAACACAAATCAACAAGTATTATTTGTCAAATTATGGTATATTCATTTGAAGGTACAGCTCTGTAAAACGTCTGCGCTGTTGAGTCCACTAAACTGTTAGGCATCTGCATAACAGAAAGATTGGAGCCTCGGAAAACATATCTAATGACTTTTTTTGGTAAGCACCATAAAACAGGGTTTGCTTTATGTAATTGTCCTTAGTTTTAGGATTAAGAGGAAATCAAAAACCAATAAGATGGAAATGTCAAATGAACATATAACCCATTATCAAAGGCACTGATACTATCAGACAGTCATTCTTAAATGTTAACGTGCATTAATGTAATAGCAGACAATTTAAGAATCAGTACATGGGTTTAAAACAACAGAGATATATGTATAACAGAGTATAGATTGCATTATACATTTGTTTCCACTCTGACGATTTAATATTGATGGGGTCACTAAATTAAATCTGGTTTAATGTGAAATGTACATTGAAATATCACATAGAAAACCCTTCTTGGTCAATTTCTGTTTCTATTTTGAGAAAATACTTCTACTTCTTAAACTTAGTAAGCTAAACTTAGTAAAACCTCCCATTGCATTGTGACGTTGCTAAAAACACGGCTGGTTTTCTGAGCTCATAAAGAGTTGACTTTTTAGATACATTTGGTTCTTACAGGACAACTACACTACCAAAATATAAAATGATATAAATTAGTAGAATTTAATTAAACCCTTCAACATCTGCGGCAGTAAAATAACACACAAATATAAATACTTCAGTATTATTAATCCAATAACAATTTACTTCTCATGTTTTCTAATTTCTAGTATTGAATCCAAGATGATCCCTTATATTAGAGTGGTTCTACAGTGTGGTATTCGAACATTTGCTTAAGTAGATGTTGTGAATGGGCTTCAAGAGACTTTTCTATCAATGAAGCAGTCTTTAACACTTCTACCTCTCTTTACATTGTTATATTCATTGACTTCTATTGCTCTATACAAATTAAAAAAGCTTTGTATATGCTGTAGCCAACATATGAACTATAAATAAAGGTTTAATAAAAATGGATTCAATGAATAATCTCAAATACAAAAGCAAATTTCAACAGATGACACATTAAAGTGTCACTGTTCTGTATGCTGCTTATCTGCCTGACTCATAATGTCAGTGACACAGAGTGCTTGTTTCTTTGACACAGTGTCACATAAAGCAAACTGTTTCAAATGAATAATGTAACCCGCTTAGCTACCCTCTGCTCCCAGATAATATCCATCTCTCACATCACATCTATGTAAGCTGCCCCTCTCGTGAATAGCTCATACGACGGGCACTTCAGAGCCGCTAATGGGTCACTGTTTGTTTTTCCTTACCATAAAGCTTATTTTTAATGTCTTAGGTCATAGAGGTCTTATAAACACATAAAATGAGCTGCTCCAACTGCATGAGAGGAGAATTTTTAGTTGTGAACGATCACATTTAGATCTTTCTTTGCAATATCGGAAGCGCTATCTGGACAAACATTGTCCAACAAATCAAGTTTTAGAAATGTAGTGTTATATTTAGAAGCTGTATTTCTTTACACACATACAATGGTTGCTCATCATCTAAATGTATCTGATCCTTAATGTAGCACAGTCGAATTCAATCAAAACACAAAAATACATTGAGGGGAAAAAAGGACATTAAGTATACAGACAAAAACATGCATGAGACAGTACATATTAGATAGTTTTATAAAATAAAGTTAGGAATTGTGGAAAGGTTTGAATGTATTACCTGTACTTGATTTCATGTTGTGTCTCTTACCCATCACAGAGGGATGTTACTGTGGGAGGACTGCACGGACAAACATTTATACATAGAGACTCCTCCCTTTCAAAGACACTAGGCTTAATGTTTAATCTGTGTGTGAAATTTTGAGCACACATAACCATGTGTTACGTCTGCTTGTAGACACAAAGTGCAAAACACATAACACGATATTACTCCTCGTTCTGTCTGAATAAAATCTTATTTTACTTAGAAAGTTACAACTATCTGTGCATGTATGTGCGTGTCTGTGTGTGTGTGTGTGTGTGTGTGTGCACGTGTGTGTGTGTGTGTGTGTGCGTGCATGTGTGTGTGTGTGTGTGTGTGTGTGTGTGTGTGTGTACGAGCTGTGCTGTGTTCGCATGAGTATTACACCCAACACTGACTGTCCGTGCCAAGGCCAAAGCTCAGTGACAAGTTAGACAAACAGTCCGATAAAAATAACAGTGTAGCAGCGGTGGAAATGGAGATCATTCACTTTAGATTAATTACTAGAAAGAGGCTTGAGGAGTAACGGAATACATGTAACAGGATATTGTAATCAGGCTACAAAATTGCTAATTGTATTCCCTTACAAGTGGATTACTACCATGATATACCGTTAGGATATTAAGATACACATACACACACAGTTAAAGAACTACTCTTGCAGTTTATCAAGTTAACTTAAGTTAAAGCCATCTTATTTATATTTATTTTCTCTTGTAATCATTGTCTTTGCCTTTGATATTGAGGCAATCCAAAAGTAATGGAAGGTGCAGTATCTGGGGATGTTGCTCGATGCAGGCAGGCTACGCGCCACCCTGTCAGAGAGCAGACAGGCATCCTTGCTTCGGGCAGTTTGCAGACTACGACAGGGGGCAACCGTGACAGCGCTGACCATTATGCAGACTCTGGGTCTCATGGCAGCTGCTCACTTCGTGGTACTGCTGGGGTTGTGCATATGCGCCGCCTGCAGAGGTGGTTTGCCGGCCTTCGTTTAGATCCCAAGAGGTACAAACGACGTCTGGTGACCATCCCCCCCTCCCCCCTCAGTGGAGGGCCTCCTCCGATACTGGGGGTCCCCATGCATCGACGGAGGGGGAACTCCGCTGGGGCGGTTGCCCTCCTACGTCACGGGATACATCCGTGACAGGATGGGGGGGACCTGCCTAGAGAGAGCTATAGGTGGTGGCTGGCAAAAACTCGGCACATCAACCTTCTAGAGCTACGGGCAGTAGTACTGCTCCTACAGCACTGCAAACCCTTACTACAGGGCGAACATGTGCTGGTGAGGAGCGACAAACGCACCACAGTGGCTTGCATCAACAGGCAGGGCGGAGTCAGCTCCGCCGCCCTGTTTAGCACAGCGGAGAACCTGTGGTTGGGGGCCTCAGAATGTTTTTATCTCTGAAGGCCCCCCACATTCCGGGACTGGAGAACAGGGCGGCTGGCCTCATGTCAAGAGGCGGGCCCCTGCCAGACGGATGGTGGTTCTCCCTGGCTCGGCAGGACAATCCACCTTTGGGGGTGAACACGTTTGCCATGGCCAAGATAGCTGCTCTACGCCTTTTCACCGCTGCGTCTCATTCTCCCCCTCCTGGAGAGGGTGGGATGAGAACGTCTGTCAGTCATCCTAGTGGCCCCAGGTCGCCGCTCGGCACCATGGTTTGCAGAGGTGACACAGATGATGGTGGACCGGCCCTGGGCGATTCCTCAGTTCTGGGGGGCGATGTCTCAGGAGGCAGGTGCAATAGGGGCGTTACCCACTCTGGGCCAACCTCTCCAGCAGGGGCGTTGCCTGGACCTGGAAACATTCGGGGCTTAGCCCACAGTGGCGGCACTACAGTCAAATTTTCTACTGCAAGACTCCCCACACGCACATACACAATTGCGCCATCTAGTGTCACAAACGTATGCCTGCATTAGCTTTGTTATGGCAATAGATTGTGGGAGATTCTCATAGCACGTGAGGATCTCTTGAGGGTAAGGTGCCTGTATTATATCGGTGGACAAAATGTATGTTTTTATTTTATAAGGACAATAACGTACTGTTGTGTTTGTTTAGTTTAATTTTAATTGCTTAATGCTCACAGTCACAGCAACATGTTTTTTGTGTGATTGGCTATTTGCAGTGGCGAGCCGTGCACTTATACCTAGGCCCTCTGACCCCCACCCCCTTCCCTCGAGTTATTATGTCATAAAGTCCGCGATAATAACACCCACCCATTTAGAAGGAAGATATGATTGGTCAATTGTACTGTCATTTGACATTACTCTCTCATTTTAGTTACTATAGCTGGCCCTCTGTGAATTCTAGCTGGACGTCCAACAGCTCCTGTCTTCACACTCACAGAGAGGAGCTTCTTTCATTTAACCCTTCACATTCCAACAGAAACTGAACAGGCAGATTCGAAGGATTTATTTCTTTGGAAATGTTATTTTAAATACAATTAAATCAAGTTATTTTGGTAAAAGTAATGAAAAATATAACTAAAATGTTTTTAAATATTATTTTGTAGAATATCTTAGGCCCTCACAGAGTTTTTTTAAGTTTAATGTTTCACATCGCTTATGAAAAATATACTATCACGATACGATCACTGATATTTTGTTGTTGACTGGACACTTCTTTTTTAAAAGAGATAGCATGTGAGGATCTCTTAAGCAATGAAGCTCACGTGTCCTTTTTATATGCTGTCCATTGAAATGCTGGAAAGTAATCACCAACTGTGAGTGATCTGTTGCCGAGGGGACAATACACCGGAGTTACATAAGCAGAGGTAAAGTACTATTTTGGGGGAAACTCCCCCAGGAAGATTTTTTTTAAATATTGAAGTTAAAAGCATCAATCTGATGCACTTTGAGAGCAACATTAAGAGATCTATGGATACATTTCTCAACACCCATATGTAAAAAAAATCAAAGAATCAGAAAGGGGTTTAATATTTAAAAACACTTGATTTTCAAGTCACTTTCTGCTTCCTTCCTCACTTGCCGTTTCCCCTCATCACTTGCTTCCGTCATCACTTTCTGCTTCCTTCCTCACTTGCCGTTTCCCCTCATCACTTGCTTCCGTCATCACTTGCTTCCTTCATCACTTTCTGCTTCCTTCCTCACTTGCCGTTTCCCCTCATCACTTGCTTCTGTCATCACTTGCTTCCTTCATCACTTTCTGCTTCCTTCCTCACTTGCCGTTTCCCCTCATCACTTTCTTCCGTCATCACTTGCTTCCTTCATCACTTTCTGCTTCCTTCCTCACTTGCCGTTTCCCCTCATCACTTGCTT